TGCCACTTGTGTCCTATTGTTTCCAATATTCCATCTGTGTCCTGAACTATGATTCCGTTAGTGTTGACTTTTGTTGACCGTTAGTTTTTAACAAAAAATTTAGTCCGCGCTGATGTGGCATCTGACGTGTAATTTTTTAATCTGAATTTATATAAAATAATATTTATAAAAAAACTATAAAAAAAAACTCTATATCTCCGTTCGCTCCTCTTCCCCTCCAAGATTGAATCGTTGCCTGGAAGAGATGAGCAACCGTCGACCCTCGGCTCCAGAACAGACGAGCATAGGAACTGGACCAGAACACTGATCTTGTTCTTCTTCCTATAGGCTAAAATCGCTTCTGCAACATCAGAGAGATCTTCGGAGATGCCTCTCCATCCGGTCTCCGCGGGAGCAGAAAGCGACGGAGAGGATCGGAGGAGGTGGTTGATGATGAGCTGAAGATGGTGCGCGTATCTGGTGAATTGGCGAGATCGAAGGACTCCTGGTCGTGGCCGCTGGACCAGAGTTCGGACATGGAATGGTGGATCTCGATTACAGATCTCAGAGAAGTCAAATCCCTAGAACCAAACCCCCCAAAATAGGAACACAGCAGATTGTGATGCCTGCAATTGAACCGGCAGACAACGAATACGAATGGCAATATGAAAACACCGATTTTGTCAAAGATTTGCAGGTGGAGGATGATGAGTTGCCGCCATCGACGGCGACGTGCGGGGAGAAGTGGAAGCATAGGGCCACCGTCGGTCCTGGCCGCCACCACCTCCTAACCCTCCATTATGCTTCCCGAACCCAGAAACACAGCGAGTTTCGTCCAAATCCCAGCCAGTGTGGGCTCTGTACAGAGGGATATCCTCTTCAATTTTGCAAATCACAGAGGGAGCAGAGGAAGGCAAACCATCATCGAAGAACTCCACCTGGGGATTTGATCTGGTGCAAATGGAAAGGATATGCTCAGAATCCCCCAGATTTTCTCCATCTCCAGCCGCAACGAATCCCTCGCCTTCCTCGCTCCGTCCAGCTGATGCGATCTCGTCTCTGTGCTCCGCGACCTCGTTCAGTTTCGCCGCAACGAATATCTTGCACCAAGAAGAAGAATACGAAGAGTTTTTTTTTATTTTGTTTTAAAATTTTGGCTTAATAATATTATTGAATTTACATTTTTTAATTTTAATTTAATTTTAATTAAGAATATGAGGTGTCAATGACGTGGCATCTATGTGGCAGCCACATTTTTGCCACGTCAACAAAAGTCAACTTCTCTTTGACCACCGTTTGGTCAACCGTTATCTTTAACGGTCAACAAAATCGGCAGGACACAAATGGCGCAAAGTATAATAGTTTAGGACACAGATGGAATATTGGAAACAATAGGACACAAGTGGCATTTTCGAGATAGTTCGGGTGTTGTAGTGGTATTAGCCCTTAAAATTATTCTTATATGCTTTGAAGGCTAATATGTATATATTTAAGTAATTTTTTATGGGCTAATAAATAAATTAACCATAAGTTACAACAATTTATACTAAACTTGATAAGTAATCTTTGATGGTACGTTGTTTAGGATATAAAGTATATGGTTAGGGTATAAGGTATAAGGTACATATGGTTTAGGGTGTATATGGTTAGGGTATAAGATATTGATAGTTTTGACGGTTCTAAGTTTTTTATTAACATATGTTCACTTGAAGTCATTTGAGGTCTTTAACGGCAGGAGATCCCTTTTTAATTTACGTTTATGGTACGTGGTTAGGGTACAAGGTATGTGGTGTAAAGTATAGGATATATGGTTAGGGTATAACAATTAGCAAATATCACTTTTTATCTATGTTTTGAAAACCAAAGTATGAATTTCACTTTTAAATTAACTATACTAGCAAAATCACAACTCAAGGACATATGATTAGGGTATAGGTTATGTTGTTAGTGTATAATGTATTGATGGTTTAGGGTATACAATCAACAACATATACTAACTTAATATTGTTGATTGAGGGTAAAGCTAAGTGTATATGATATATGCTATTGAGTAAGTTATGATTTGAAGGCTAATATGTATATATGTATGTAATTTTTTATGGGCTAATAAATAAATTAACCATAAGTTACAACAATTTATACTAAACTTGATAATGTATAATGTATTGATGGTTTAGGGTATACAATCAACAACATATACTAACTTAATATTGTTGATTGAGGGTAAAGCTAAGTGTATATGATATATGCTATTGAGTAAGTTATGATTTGAAGGCTAATATGTATATATGTATGTAATTTTTTATGGGCTAATAAATAAATTAACCATAAGTTACAACAATTTATACTAAACTTGATAAGTAATCTTTGACGGTTCGTTGTTTAGGATATAAAGTATATGGTTAGGGTATAAGGTATAAGGTACATACAATGCAGTTAAAATCACGCTTTAAAACTTAAAAGCTTACGCTTTTACCTTTTTAGGTTAGTAAAACGCTTTAGAATCATGATTTTACCTTACAAATATAGTCAAAATCTAAGCTTTAAAACTTAAAAACTTACGGTTTTACGCTTCTAGGTCACCCAACCGCTTCTAGGTAGAATCGCGATTTTGACTGCTTTGGGTACATATGGTTTAGGGTGTATATGGTTAGGGTATAAGATATTGATGGTTTTGACGGTTCTAAGTTTTTTATTAACATATGTTCACTTGAAGTCATTTGAAGTCTTTAACGGCAGGAGATCCCTTTTTAATTTACGTTTATGGTACGTGGTTAGGGTACAAGGTATGTGGTGTAAAGTATAGGATATATGGTTAGGGTATAACAATTAGCAAATATCACTTTTTATCTATATTTTGAAAATCAAAGTATGAATTTCACTTTTAAATTAACTATACTAGCAAAATCACAACTCAAGGACATATGATTAGGGTATAGGTTATGTGGTTAGTGTATAATGTATTGATGGTTTAGGGTATACAATCAACAACATATACTAACTTAATATTGTTGATTGAGGGTAAAGCTAAGTGTATATGATATATGCTATTGAGTAAGTTATGATTGAAGTCACAATAATTTTACTAAATTTGATAGCTAATCTTTAATTGTTCAATTTTTAGGATAATTCGAACAATTTTACAAATAACTCGTTTGGCAACAGTTTACTAAAGTTATTTGGGCAATGAGTATTTTGAAATAACTCCTTTTATCACTATGCATTTTCCAAATACCACACGCCAAATACCAGATTTGCATGGTTATACTAAACGAGATACTTTAATCCAATTACTACTGAATTAATACTAAAATATCAAATAAACAATTAACGGTGTCTTTTGGTTGCAAATATTGATATCACCATTACTATTACCTATAATACTTTACCAATTATGATTAATTACATAACAAGTTTGCAAGTCATACAAATTGATTTAACATTTTGACTAGTTTTTTTCAAAAAAAAAAGTATATATATACGAGGTAGAAATAAATTGGTTAAAAAGTTGAGAAAATATTTTAAATTAATGTAATAAAATGTTTAAGTTGGTAATGAGTAACGAGTTAAGTTACTTGATGTGCTGGCCCGAACAACCCGAAACCCGACCCGCCCGCAACCCGCCCGACCCAAAACCCGGTGAACCCGCAACCCGATTTGCCTGCAACCCGACTAACCCGCAACCCGTTTGAACCCGAACCCGATGAACCCGCAACCCGACTAACCCGCAACCCGTTTGAACCCGAACCCGATTGAACCCCGCCGAACCCGCCCGATTGACACCTATAGTCTCAACATGCAGCATATTATGAACATATAACATTGAAACGAAAAGCCATGCTATACTCTAAAATATTGAGGTTTTGATATACAAATTCAACTTATATCATACAGGTACAATTTCAATTTGTGTCATAACATAAAACCTAAATGTACAACTTCAGTTTGTAACATGAAAGAACTTTTTCAAAAAGTATATGTACAAACTAAATTTGTAATAATAGTTCAATTTGTATGATAATTAAAAAAAAAACAAAATCACAGATCTATTAAGCATTCGAAAATTCCTCTCAAATTAATAGGGTGGAAGTACTCTAAATATATATAATTAAGTTTTACTTAACATTTTAATTAGGAGTCAAATAAGTAATTTTTCTTGATCAACACAATATTATACAAGTTGACTGGTTGACATTAGTTTATTATTTAAGCACCCTTTTTTCCCCTTTACTGATATTTACCAATTGGCTGCAGAATCATCATCATCATTGCCCAAGGAAGGAATGAGTTAATCTGCTCGTGGGCAAGTGACAATTATTTAAATTTACTTTTTTATATTTTATCAATAATAATGATTAATTTAGTTCAGATTGTTTTTAATTAATGTATGATGATAGCTAGGGTTTATCAATATCATTTTTTTCATTCTATTTTCTCTTCAAAAGTACTACTAGTTTCATCCCATTATTCAAAGTGACAAATATCATATGACAGAAGTAAAGAGAAAATAAATGCCAACCACTACCAAATCTCTGCCATTATTTTCTTTGACATTGAAGAATCTCAAAGACATAGCCAAGTTGTCGTCTGTCTAACTGGGTGACTATCACAGTTCAGAAACTCAAAACTGTTCCATTATGAATACATTAGGAAGATCCAAGAATGAACAAAAGAAGAGAAAATTTTGCAGACCGTTGAGCACGAAAGGCCATTGTTTTTTTTTTTTTTCGCAGAACACAACTCGTCCTAGAAACTGTCGCGCTTTCTCTTCTCTCCTTCAAGATATTCCTCGAATGAATTGAGGAACGAAACCTGAATGCAGGGTTATGTTGCCTCATGTCACAATGCTCTTGGCTTTTGTCCCATTTTGCACCATTCTAAAGTTGGACATAGCACATAAGTCGTGCCGTTAGTTCTCAATATCTTGCAATGCAAGAAACTAAAATGGAAAGTCAGGGGAGTAAGTAACTTCTACTCACAGGTTAATTAAGGTGAAGCTAGCTTGGTCCATGTTGCAAATCTTAACCCGTTGAAGCCTTTTCGTTCTTCATGATCATATGGAACGATTTCACGCGATCTTCCTCCACCATTTCCCTCAGCACAGCATCTTCGATCTTCTCTGCTTGCCACTGCGAGGGGTCTTCCACAAACGCCTCGTTGAATATCATGCACGACAACCACTCTTTCCAAATCGTCCTCCTGTACTTGTCCTCTTCAAGCGTCCCAGTCGCAAGCAACAAGTACACGTAAACGACCTTCTGCTGGCCTGGACGAAAGGCACGAGCAATGGCTTGCTTCGTCTTGCTAGGATTGCACTCGGAGTCCATCAGTATCACTCTTGAAGTTGCTGTCATGCTGATCCCTTTAGCACAAGCTGTGATTGACACAATAAGAATCTTGGAATGTCCACCTGGCTCCTCGAACTTGTCGATGATCCTGCCTCTCTCGAACAACTCGAGATCACCGGTGAGAATCATTATCTATGTCCCTCTCTGCCACCCAAAGATGTTCTCCAACAGCTCAGTGAGGAGATTAATGGGCGCAATGTTGTGGCTGAAGATCAAGACTTTCTCCTTCCTCACTATCCTGTACACCAGGTTCAGAGTAAACTTGATCTTCGACCCTTTCTTGAAGTCGAACTTCAGCTTCTCAAGCTCCATTTGTTCAGGCATGTCGAAGAACTTGTGGACGCAGTTCGATGTCTTAACCAGCCAAGGGTGGATTGAAGCAAGCGTGATCATGAGCTCAAGCTCCAATGGGTAACCATTGTAGGTAGCCATAATGTCATGCAGCCTGTTTAGAATCTCGTTCTGTATATCTGTGGAGTTCATCAGTATAGTATATATCTGCAAGCCAGGAGGCCATCAGAAGCCCCACCTTCATAAACATCAATGAAACAATTCGTCATGTTTCTCAGCACATTCAGACCTTCCATTCTTTCTTCTGGCACTCCTGAATCAATCTTGCTAGCAATGTTATCTATGAAAAGCTTCCTTGCTCGAGCTTCCAGTAGGTGTCGAGCTTTCTTAGGCCCTTTCTTTGCTTTGTACTTTGGGTCTAACTTCCTTGACACTTCTCTGATGAACTTTGGCCTTGAAAGGCAAAGTGTGTTGAAGTACTCGATGAAATTGTTCTGGAATAGAGTTCTAGAGAGATGTATTCGGAGATCTGTTTGCACCTTCATCAAAACCTTCCTTAATCTGGATTTCGTGCTCCTAGGATTATGACCTTCGTCGAGTATGAGCAGCCCTGGACTTTCCCTCAGCACTTTGGCCATGTACTGCCTATGAGCAAACTTGGAATCTTCCCTCATCAACTTGAGAAACGAAGTGTAGCCCATGACAAGGACACTCGGTTGTGCTTGTGCATGCCACTTTCGAATCTTTTCTAAGAAGTCCAAGATATGCATAACGTCCTGGCTCGGCTTTGGCCCTCCAGTGTATTTAACAGCCGCACCTTGCTGAGACAGCCTATAAGTCTTTCGCCCGTGGATGAGGTGCACCGGGATAGGGATATCCCACTTGATGAACTCTTTGTACCAGGTGTAGAGACTAGTCTATGGAGCTAGGACTAATGGCCTCTTGTTTGGGAACAACTTAAGGTAGCTTGAGAGGAAAGCTATGATGAGGAACGTCTTGCCAGCTCCTGGTGTATGGGACACTACACAACCACCAACTTTCTTTGATGCTTCCACCATTTTGGCTGGGATGGTCGAGCCTGCGGTGTTCCTCCATAGAAATTCAAATGCCCTCTTCTGATGTAAATGCAGCTTGTTTTTTTATCTGAGGGATTAATGCCCAAACGTTCTCTTTCTCTGCTGATAATGACGCGTCTTCCTTGTATGTATCGTGATTAGTGGTGAACAGTTTGATCTCTTCTTCCCCTTCTGGCCTGGGATCCAAGCCATCGCCATCATTTGGTTTCCTTTCTGCAGTCGAGCTAGCATTTTCCGCATAAGAGAAATGAATGAACGAAATGAATGCTTAATTTTCTTCCATCTATGGTCAGAATGTAGGGCAGAGCATCTAAGACCAGCAAGCCTTATTTTGGGATGGAGATATTGTAACATTTTGCAGTAAGATTCTTTGCTAGGCTAGGCAAGGGTTTCATGATTTGCTGCAACTTTGTTTGCAGTGTATCTGCAAGCATGGCAGTAAAATGAATGCCAGAAAGGAAACCAACTTGCATTATTGTCTGACTTACAAATGGAGGTATAACATATTTCACTTCGGTCTTCACGAAACCACAGATAGTGCATATAATACCAATCTCCTCATCAAGTTTGTATGCATGGAGGCAGTTACTGTCACCTTCCTTGTCCATATTCTTTTTAGGAACTCGGTCCTGTGAATCGAAGAACTTAGTAATAGATGACAAAAGAAGTAGATGTGCGTTAAAAAAGACTATATATATTCCACTTTGATAGTTGATACCTGATGTTCATCAAGAAGATATGCCGATGCCAGACATAGTTCCATTTCTCTCCACATCATCTCGGTTTCTGACAGTTCACCATCATCCTCTCTTACCATAATACCCGAATGAGACTTCATCCTTGGGCTCTATGGGTTGATTTTCATGAGACTTTGGAGAAGGAGAATCAGGTTGTTCATGATTATCAACATCTTCTGGTGGATCATTTTGAGCACGCATGGGAACAGCTGGGACTATGGCAAGTTTAGGCTTTCGGCCTCTTTTCTTTGACTTCTTTCTTTTCATGTTAAAATCATCCAAGAGTTCAGGCTGAGGAACTTCACTCTTTGCTAGATTTATACCACCATTTCCACCACGGTTACAAAAAAGTCTGATAGAGGCACATCCATATCATTATCATCATCATAATCATCCTTCCTTTTGGCTGTCTTGTTTGGCATCTGTCTAACCCAACCCGGGTCTTCACCTGGAGCAATATTGTTAGAGTGTGGTATAAGATCCAGCAAGCTTTGCAGTTTCATGTGAGCCATTCACCAGAGCAATACCAGTTTTCTCATCAAATTTTGATTGAGCACCAAGCTCACAACCAAAGTACTTGGTAGTATAAGAAGCAGGCCGAGCCAAAGCCTTTGCAATGTCAACCATGTTGACTATATTAGTCTTGATGCCATTTCCTCTGCCCTCAATCTTGGTAACCATTCTAGGCATCTTATACCTGTAGAAGGCATCGTCACTGTTTGAAGCACAATGTTCTGCAACGCCATCTTGTCTTGATTAAGAGTAAATCAAAGATGAGATGCTTATAATAGCTGAGGGTAAAGGATGGATTGCAGAGGGTATGAAGAGCTGATATTGCCTGCCAAAGAACTTTCAGCAAGAAAAGACTTCACTTTTTCTGTCACAAAAGGTTGCATCCAGAAGCAACCATGAAGCTCTGAGTGTTCATGTTGCTCCTTTTCCCGTGAGAGCAGGCAACGATTACCTAGCAATCCAATCGTTCCCAAGATGAAAATGGCCTGTATGGACATAAAAGAATCTCAACTTTCACAAACTGCAGATTGCAGCAACACTTCCAGCAAGGCTCCTTCAAAAAGATAGCGAAACGGCGAAGGACGCAGAAACAAGGAGAGCGGCAATCGGTGTAGATCTCAGGGTGTTGCAAGACAGCGGAGCCGATGGATGCAGAAGGGAAAAGATTTCTCCAGAGATCAGTAGAAGCGGTTTGGTTATATGGGTTATCTCGTGGCGGTGGGGCTGTGGCTCTCTCAACAATACAATTGCTGAAAATAAACCTTCTCCCAACACCAATTGTTAGAGTGTGGTATAAGATCCAGCAAAACCTTCTCCCAACAATTCGAGTTATTGGGATCAACTGGTTCTTGACATGGTATCAGAGCCTCGAACCAAAAGGTCATGTGTTCGAATCTCCACGACCCCCAATATTAACCGTTGTCTTTCAAGCACATGGTATGGTGGGCCTGTGCAAACTTCAAGCCCATGGGTTGGCTTTCGTTTGAGGATAAGCTACTTTATTTTGCACTGACCTCACCACAAAGGCAATTTGCTTGAGAACAGATGTTGCAAGTAGCCATGAGAGCTCATGTGAGAACTTCCCAAAAAAAGTTTAGGTCTTTGTGATACAACACAGTCTTCCTAGTAATCCCAACGATAGAATCGAACATCTCAAGGACTATTATCGAGCTTTTGAAGGACGGAGATCTTGTCGATTCCAACTTCATCAGTTTCTTTGCTAAGTGTTGCTTTCTCCAAACCGATAACACCTTGGTTTGCATAGAGCTTGACAGAGAATTTGCATGAACAATGAGACTCTTGATGTGGCTTCCTCTCTATAGATTTTATTTTAGCATCTACCAACACCTATCAGTAAGAGAATGGAAAGGGAAAAAGCAGACTTAAAATGACGGTTCCTTGCAAGTCAACTCTATGTATATGCTGAACCATATGCATTAAAGTTAAGTCGGTATTAAGAAATGCATACTTTCTAACTCTAAAATGACATGCCAAATGAAGTTCAATGTGCAATAATAGCTTAGACAGATATGGACATACCTAATTTCTAGTTTCTCCCGCTGGACTTTCTTCCTGAAGAGCAGATGAAAGCACACAGACATCAATACCTGGTCTTAGGAAACAAATGCAGTCAGATGCAGTTGCTAGCCTTGACCTTACTTGAAGGTTTGGCAATAGACCTTTATCCTCAACTCCCGGGTGATTGTCTCCATAATGTGTGATCATATCCCCATCCCTAATCTCAATCTGCCTCACACCTCGACACGAGCCACAGCAGTAGGCCTCAAATGCTGTTCAAGTGGATAATTAGTTGCAATCATATAACAATGCAGCTATTAAAAGTTACATATCCAATCTATCATCTCATTTCCCAATATGCTGGCGACATTACAATGTGAAGCAGCTCTCGACGCGCTAGATAGTAATTTTCAGTTCCTCATTAAGCAAGCACAAATCGGTTTCAATGATTTACTACATAAAACAATTTCGTTAAAGAGATCGAAAATGAAAGAACTGCATATGCTTACGCGATTCATGGAACACGTGCCTTGATTCGTGCACGCGCCTTCTCTTCATAGCCTGCGACTAGGATTACCAATTCAGACTGTTATATGGTTCTCTTAATATAGAAGAAAGCCCTTTTACTGCTGAAAATGCTTCCAGATCAGCCTAATTAGGTCACCCAATGTTGTTGACCACCCTGTTTCATGGAAAAGCATTGACTCATTCAGGTTTTTGAAACAACAAAGCTAACCCTCTCATTTCAAAAACAACCATGACAAAGAATCCAAACCATATATACAGAAGAAAAGAGTAAAAACATCAAAATCAGATAAAAAAGGAATCCTTATTGGGCATGACCCTTTCCCGCTGGAGATCCATGGAACAGTTAAAAATGGGGAAAAAACTAAAAACAGAAGAGCAACTTTCATTACTCCCAAGAGAGAAATCCAACTCAAACCCCTCTTTTTTTTTTTTACCTTTCTTTTTTTCTTTCCCTCACTGTTTCCCCTTTGCTGTTTTTGTAAAAGTTCAGAGATATGACTCATTCAACTTCAGATTTTACTCCAAAATAACCCACAATCTGTTTCCCAAAGTAAGCAATCCAAACATGGCTGGCATAAACATAGAGGTCATCATCGTATCAGCATCTTCAGGAAAAAAAATGCTACATTCACTACCAAAAAACCAGTTAGTGGGACAGACTTAGCTTCAAATGGCAAAATAATGCAAGTCCCAATACAGGCACCCACCAAAAGCTACAGACTCAAAGTAGCCCAAAAAGCCAGCCACAAATGTCCAGATAGAAATACAATCCATTTCCCACCTTCAACATCAACCCACTTCATCATTTCCCCTCAGAAGCAGAAACCATAAGTGCGCTCGAAGCTTTATGCAATAAAGCCTCCATCTTTCCCCAACCCACATTGAAAAACGGTCAAAACTGGGGGGGGGGGGGGGTGGGGGGGGGGGGGGGGGGGGGGGGGGGGGGAGAACGTTTCTACCTGTAAGGGCTTAAGTAGCAACCCAGAAAGTGCCGATTATGAGAGAATCAACACTTTTGAGAAAAAGGGGTATCGAAATCAATGAGATGGAAATGGTTGGTGAAGCTGGAGATGCGAGATGAACTCACACAGTCACTCAGTAAACTCGGTCCTCTCTCAAATCTCAATTTGAGTGATGCTGCTGAGTAGTTATGACACATAGACCCAAAAGCTCAAAAAGTTACAGCCATAGAGCAGAACAGAGTAGGCAGCAGAAAGAATGGGGCAGGCCACAGGTAGGGCCCTAGGCGGGGAGTTTCATGGCGTGAGTGGAGTGGGGTCTGGCTGAGAATCTAGGGACTCGTGTCACTTCGATTGCATGAAACGGGGAAAATGAGGAGCTAGGAGCAAGGATTTTTCCAATAATAGCACCTTTAAAAAAATTACAAAACTAGCACCCATATGAAAAAATTGACAGAAATAGCACCAATTTTTTGGAACGCACCATAGGGGTGCGTTCCAACTTACGAAACGCACTAGGGCGGTGCGATTTAATGCTGCTGCGGAACGGTCTTCAAGACAGTTGGATGGAGGGACGATCGGGCGGCTGAACGCTTGCCAGCAGAGCGATCCGTGCCACGGATCATGGATCGCACGCCCGAGATGCGGTCAACCTAGGGAAGCGCAAAACGCATCGGGCAAAATTACCCTACCTCCCCTGGAGGGTGCGGTCTGATGGGTATAAATACCCCCCCTTCCCCTCTCATTTCTTCACACCACAACCCATTCTTCCTTCTCTCTCTACAATTTATCTCTCTAAACCCTCCCCTCCCAAAAGTCTAGGAAATAGTGGTCTGTTGGTTGAGGCTAAGTCCGATCTGCCATTAGAAAACATTTCGTAGGTTTTTTCCTCAAAACATTTCTGAGGATCATGGTAACTTTGGTAGGGATGATCGCCATATAATTCACCTCCACCATGGATACCAGATGTTTGACCGTGTCCAGAATGACCTCCAACGCCTACGACCGGCTCGGTGTAAACGAACATCTCGGCTTTGGAAAGATTGTTGGACCTCATGAATTCGAGCATGACATCTACCTCATCCTGAGTGGTTATGAGATATTCCTCATGCCACAATGACCCACTTTCTCTGTTTGGATATCGGTACACCATACGATCAACTCTTCTCGTGCCATCCATTCAAGTAACGTTAGTGCACATTTGATGGAGGTCTTCAAGCAGCGGTCTGGTAGCGACCTTTATCTTCTGAAAATTGTCACCTACGTAGGTGACCCCCTTTCCGGTCTCTTCCGTGTAACCATTCCACCGTAAGCCAAGCGTGAACTTTTGGAATGCCATCTGCGATAAAACCGTAGTTCAGTTAATATCATAGCAATCAAAAATAAAAAATAACAATAAAAAGTAATACTAAATAAATTTACGAGTTAATGTTAATCGCAAAACTACTAAAGAAATATAGAGCTACAACAGAAAATTGAAAAAGGAGAAGGAGAGGTGTGAAGAGAAGTGGTTGTCCGGGAGGCCTTTTATAGGCAAAATTACTGATGAAAACCGCACCTTAGAGGTGCGGTTTTCGTCTGCCATGTAGGCCCATGCAGACCCACGTCTGTTACGTTTGCATGGTATGTCGGAAATTGATTGACCAAAACCGCACCTCCAAGCTGCGGTTTGTATGGCAAAATCGCACCATGAGGGTGCGGTTTTGTTTGGGAGAAACAAACCGCACCTTCATGATGTGGTTTTAATAGGTCAGGCCAAAACCGCACCTCGGCCAAACGGTTTCTGTAGGTCAGACCTAAAACCGCTTGGCCAAAATGCGGTTTTGGTCTAGAAATAGGGAACGCACCTTAGAGGTGCGGTTTATGTATATAACGCACACGCACCTCTAAGGTGCGGTCCATTAAAAAGGGTGCTATTAGTGTAAATTTTTTCAGATGGATGCTATTTTTTTAATTTTTTTTAAAAGGTGCTGTTTCTGGAAAAATCCCCTAGGAGCAAGCCAGGCAATTCAATTTTCCCATGAAACGTATTTTACCAGTGGATAATTGAGGATTTGGAGCCAACTACTCTTAATAATTTTAGTGTTTTGTTTGTTTGTTGAAGAGAAGAGAAGGTTTGATCAGAGGGTTGTGATTGAATGGGTGAAAGAACGATAAGAAGGCACAGCTGCTGAAAAAAATGGGAGATGGTGATTGGCGAGGGTTAATTCCCTAAATATTTTTTTTTAATTTACCACGTATATAGTGTTTTTAAAAGTATTTACAACAATATTGTGTTTTTTTATATGTGTAAAGCGCCGATGCCTTAGACTCAGGCGCTGCCGATGGATGCATTTTAAACAAACAAAACACAGCAGCGGCGGCCCAGACTGGGGCTTTGTCGCTTTTAAGAAGGTAATAGCGTCGGCGCCCCAGACTGGGGCTTTGTCGCTGCCATTTTGTTCCACTCCAGCACCACCCCTCACCATATATACTGCACCTTTCCTTCGGTTCTTCATCACCAAAAAACTGAAAGAAGTTCTGAAAGAAGCTCTGGTGTTGCTGTCTGGTTGCTGGGAAGATGGCTAATAACAGGTAAGAGTCGTATTTTTTTTTTCATGTATTCATCATAATGATTTTGTCTAGTTAGTAATTAGTGAGTTTGTTTTTTATGTAGTGGTTTTAGAAGATTTGAACTAGCTGTTCGGTGGCGATCAGAGAAAGTAGAAGACAATTTGGGTGTCCATTTTGTTGGTGGTCTAAGTTTCCAGATGACTATTCCATCCAGGGTGAACTATCAGAAACTTTGTGATCATCTAATTCGGAGAATACGGATTAGAGACGAAACAGTACAAGATAGTGTTGTGATTACAGGTTTCACCTACTGTCTTCCAGAATGGCAGAATGGTGTTTTATTTCATTATGCAATGCCTATTGTCGATGATGATAGCTTAAATGTGCTTTGGAATTTTATGCCACAAAATCCTTATTGTTTGGGTGCTGAGATACATGCTGAGCTCAGTGAGGATCGGGGTGGAGAGGAAGACGATGATGACGGTGATGACACATGGAGCATGCCATCCGATCATGATTATGATGACGGTGATGACGAAGATGAGGAAGACGATGATGAGGAGGAGGAGGAGGACGACGACGACGGGGAGGGAGGAGAACAACCTAATTTTCCTCCATATTTTTACTTGCAGGGTAATGAAGAGGACGAGGAATTATCATATGCTGATTCATATGGCGTAATTCCAGGGGAGGGAGGAGAACAACCTAATTAATGCACAAAACTATATTAATTCAATACCTTCAATTCACCTAATATTTATATTTATATATCTAAACTAAATTTTTTCTAATATAATATAATCGTAACTTAATCTAATTCTATTCCTAATTTAATTATTTCCAATCGTAATTTAATTTCATTCTATTCTATTCTATCATGTTATTCGGCTAATAAAACTATAGAAATAGTTTGAAAAAAACTTACCTCATTGGCCCAAACTGCGTCAATCCGATGGTGACCATGCCCCCAAAGAAGTTCCGGATCCATCGGAGCAGTATCGATCGTCGCAGGTGGTGGTCTCATCGAACAAGGATCGATAAGCCTAGGAACTGGGAAAAAAAAATATTAGAACATAAAAAAAAATGTAGCCGGAAAAAAGTGGCCGCCGGCGAGAATCCGGCCGCCGCCGTTTCGACTTACCCCTGTAGCGTTCGCCGGCGCCGCCGTCACCGCCGCCGCCCTCGCCGCCCTCGGCCTCTTCCTCTGCCGCCGGGGGCTTGCTGCTCGTCGTCGGACATTCCGCGGCGCTGTCGCTTACTTCTTCGCGCCGCCGCCCGTGTCTTAGGCGCTGTCGCTCTGGTCTCGGCGTCGGCGCTGGGTCTGAGGCGCTGCCGCTCAGTTCTCGGCGTCGGCGCTGGTAGGGTGGGTGAAGGAGGGGTCGGGATGGAGGAGGACGAAGGAGGTGGAGTGGATGGAGGGAGGGAAGGATTGGTCTGTGCGAGAGGGGAGGAGGGGAATTAAAAAAAACAAAGGAAACCAGCGACGGCGCCCCAGTCTCAAGCTTTGGCGCTATTTGAAATTAAAAAAAATTTCAAATAGCGCCAAAGTTTGAGACTGGGGCACCGCCGCTGGCTTTACCTTTAAAAACCCTATTTGCTGAGTCTCGGGCGCCGTCGGCACCTTCCCTCCATCAAAACACAATATTGTTGTAAATACTTTTAAAAACACTATATACGTGGTAAATTAAAAAAAAAACAATATTTAGGGAACTAACCCGATTGACGATGGTGACTGATTCCCTTCTTTTTCATTGCAGCCTGCTGATAGAATAGAAAGGAAGATTAATAAATAATAATAATGAGGGGAGAAAAGGAAACACAAGTCAAATTAATAAAAAAATAAACAGGAAGCCCTGTTTTATGGAAGAATCTTCAGGTGAGATTTCTGGTGGTTTCACTGGCTGGACTGGGTTGTTGATGTTTTGGGTACTTAGTTTGGTTTGAGCAACTCAGAGTTGACTCAATCGGTGGGTAGGTGGAGAATCTCAAGGTTTGATTTAAATATTACAAAAAATCTATTATGAATGGAATGATATCTTATATTTTTTTATTTATAATTAATAAATGGATGTATATTATTTCGGTTTTCATTCAAAATTATGTGGTTTGGAAAATTTTTGAGTGTCGCCCAAAATTCAAGACTTAACATGAGGATCGGAAATAGAAACACTGTGAAAATTTAGGCAAATGATGCTCTCGGTTAGCAAGAAAGCCTGCATACTTATTACCTTCCCTGTAAATGTGACACATTGAAACTATCCACTATTTCTCCATCACCGCCTGAAAGCGCCGGATGACTGTTGTGTGACGTTGATCATCATCATGCTTATTGTGGAGGAGTTGAACTGCACATCTAGAGTCAATCTATACCTAAACTCTGATAGTGTTCAAGGTCTCACGCGAGCTTGAGAGCTTCTAAAATGCCTTTCAAGGCAACTCGAGTGCTAGAATAAACCTAAGATTTAACGCAAACGCTGTGAGCAACATTTTATATGATCTTAAATCAGGAAGTATAGAGCCCATTATATGTGATGTTTAATAAAAAGAGAAAGAAACAATCTTTCCGATTGGATGGTTTGAGTGTTTATCGGGTTGGATTGGGGTTGTTGTCCTTACCTAATTGATCCAATCACACATTAATGATTATTTTAAAAAAAATTAATCATTCACACACACGAATGAACAAATTGGACGGGAACGGATTAGATTGGTTGGCTGGGAAACAATTAGGTGGATCCCACAGTTTGAACGAGTTGATTTTGCACATGCCTCCATAAATAAGTTTCTATTTAACATTCATTAAAAAAGAACGCCGACGATTAATGTGACATATATTCCAAAACGTAATGGTAATTAGAGTATGATCAGAAAATGTGGTGATATGTTGATGGTATGAAAACAAACAGAGACCTGAAACATCGATTGATTACTCGAATCAATCAATGCAAGATTCTTTATCGATTATGTTTCAATCCATAGTTCAACTACGCGCAAATTGCTTTCGCAATCAATCATTTGTATTATTGTCTAAGTGAGATTTCTAATCGATTCTGTTTTAATCCACCGTTGAACTACATGCCCCTTGCTTTCTCATTTTAAATGTGGATGAGTAACGACTGAACACATTCTCAATTCTCTGTGTGATGTTTGTTTGTTAATGTTTTCGGTTGGGTTAGTGCTTTGGTTTGAGCTATCCAAGTTGTCTCTAAAGTTGGGATACTTTCTTTTGATTCCTTTGGACCAAGTTCAATGCAATGCTAGTACTCAAATTTGGAGACCTTATTCCCATTTTATTATCTTTTGCTCCAATGTTACATTCTTCAAATTTGTGAATCTTTCTTTTTTCGAGAATTTGACCTCCATTTTCACAGAATGAAGAAAGGAAAGAAGAAAAAAAAAAGTGTCCCTCTCCTCCCCGTCGTGGAGAGTGGGATCAGAAACCTCGCCTCGCTGCGACTCGCCGTAACTGGCCACTCCGCCTCTGTGCGGCGCCGGAATCGGCCTCACCTACATGGGGCTTTTAAAATACCCACCCTGGGGCCCTCGATTCTCATCGCTCCGCTGGTATTGCGCCCCATTCTTCCCTCCCATTGTGAAGTTTCGCTCCGAAAGTAATATCGATTTCCCAGCCATGGCCGCTGTCAACAGAGTCGTCTTTGGAGATGAGGATGTCGCCGCTGGTGCGATTCGAAGAGATCTGTCTCTCCTTGGGCGTGTGATTGGAGAGGCTCCATCGATCGCGCATCTCCAACACACGCTGGGCAGGTTATGGCGTTGCCATGGTGCGCTGTCGATCAGCCCGGTGAGCGACGGCTTGCTGTAATTCATCTTCCCCACCGTTGAGGAACGTGATCGAATTCGTAAGCAGTCTCCTTGGTTCCTCCCCAAATTCCTGGTTAATCTAGTTGGTGACGGTTACACCAGAAATTGCGGATCAGCTATGGCGTGTCCCGCTAGGGCTTCATTTCTGGGTAGTTCCCTTTGACTGCTGCACTAAGAAGATGTCCATTCTCCTGGGTCAGGCTTTGGGGAGAACTTCTTCCCCATCTGTACATCGCATCCCAGAAACGGGGGAGATTTACCTCTGGGCCGAAGTGGGGGTTGATGGTCGTTTCCCTCTTCCGCTCTCGGTGCCTGCCTCCCATGAAAAGCCTGAGCGTGGGGAGTTTGAAGTTGTGGTGAAGTACGAGCGTCTCCCGCAATTCTGCTTCCTCTGTGGCATGTTGGGGCACATCGATCAGATATGCCCACGCCGCGAGGAGCTTGCTGATGCAGATCGGATTTATGG